TTTTCTCACTCACGCCCGAGCTGCTCCGGGGACTTAATCGCTTTTGATTTGGCAAAAATACAAAATCTATCAATTCTGATCCTGGGCCGAACCGTCATTCTCCCTGAAAATATATTGTTGAGTCCAGATCTGGTAGGCTTAATCAATATCCATTGCAAGTTTCTAATCGGACCTCAGAGCAAATTTGAGGGCTGAAAATAATTTCTGCAAGTACTCATCTGCCTAATTCCTAGGTTCCACCAATCTGAAGAATTGAATGTGCTTCTTTATTTCCTTTTTCCATTCAAGTAATCCGAAACAAGTGTTGGCAGATCTTCTTTGTAAATAAGAGGACAATGAGACGCAGTTTGAAACTACATACCTTGTTTATAACATGTAATGTAAAGCAATCCCCACCCTCCTCAAACCTTATTCAAAACCCACGGTCTTTTTTGTCATGATCAAACAGCAGAGACCAATTCTCTCCTCTCCTTACCTACTCCCCAACTACTGTTAAAAAATCATTAAAACTACAACCCAAATTGAAGACAACCAAAAACAAACAACAACCATGGCCTCAACACTTCTTTGTTCTCTCCTTCTTTCAGTACCTGTAGTGCGCAGGCTTGTATGGACCTTCAACGGGGACACTAATGTATGCAGCCTGTTCGGAAGTAAGCTTGGTAAGCTTGGCCCCGAGCTTGCCAAGGTGAAGAGCAGCGACCTTCTCGTCGAGATGCTTGGGCAGCACGTAGACCTTCTTTTCGTACTTGCCGGTTCCCTTCTCCTTCCACAGCTCAAGCTGGGCGATCACCTGGTTTGTGAACGAGCAAGACATCACGAAGCTGGGATGCCCTGTGGCGCATCCCAGGTTCATGAGCCGACCCTCGGCCAATACAATTACGCCACTGTTGGTGTCGGGGAAGACCCACCTATCCGTCTGGGGCTTGATTGTGATCCTCTTCACACCTGGGAGGATCTCTAGGCCGTGCATGTCGATCTCATTGTCGAAGTGGCCGATGTTGCAGACAATGGCGTTGTTCTTCATCTTCCTCATGTGGTCGACCATGATGATGTCCTTGTTACCGGTGGTGGTGACGAAGATGTCGGCCTCGGCTAAGACGTCCTCGAGGGTCAGCACTGGGATGCCTTCCATGAGAGCCTGAAGGGCGCAAATGGGGTCTATCTCCGTAACAATTACACGGGCACCGGCTTGCTTAAGGGCGGCAGCACAACCCTTGCCAACATCTCCGTACCCGCAGACAACTGCTACCTTGCCGGCAATCATCACGTCAGTGGCTCTCATCAATCCATCGGGGAGAGAGTGGCGGCAACCGTAGAGGTTATCGAACTGATTAGCAGAAAGAACAGAGCAGTTAGAAAAGGGAAGAACTAGAGTTCAGAGTGTTAATTGATTCGAGGTAGGAAATTGTCTCCCAGAATCGGAACAATTAACCACGAATTTGGATTATCACAAGCAATTTTTTATAGTTATTATGATTTGATATTAAAACAAGAAACTTAGATCTAGCAGATTTTGGAATGGCCAGATCTTGAACTCAGGTTTCCTAGTTAAACAGATAGATCTTGGAAATCTATAAGATTCTTCGATTGGAACACTATGAGCTCAAGATATTTCATTTTGCATAAAGTCTGAACTAAAATTGAAGCAAACTTAGTGGAAACAGAACTAGATCTGAAGCAAAACATATAAAGGTCTGGATGAAGCAACACTTTTAACAGTACCTTGCTCTTGGTGACAGAGTCGTTAACGTTGATAGCAGGAAAGAGCAAAGTCCCAGCGGCTTGCATCTGGTAAAGCCTCTTGACACCGGTGGTTGTCTCTTCAGAAACACCGACCAATCTGTCTTTCATCTTGTGATACTTCATCGGATCCGCCTTCAACCCATCTCTGATAATCGTGAGCACGATCTGGAACTCGGCGTTGTCCGTTGACGACGGATCCGGCAACTTTCCGGTCTTGGCGTACTCTTCCTCCGCCTTCACACCCTCATGGATGAGCAATGTAGCGTCACCACCGTCGTCGACGATGAGATCGGGACCGCCACCAGGACCCCAGTCGAGTGCCCTCTCGGTACACCACCAGTACTCCTGAAGGGTCTCCCCCTTCCACGCGAATACGGAAGCGCTGTCGCGAGCAATGGCAGCAGCGGCGTGGTCCTGGGTGGAGAAGATGTTGCAGGAGCACCAGCGGACCTCGGCACCGAGGGCGGTGAGGGTTTCGATCAGAACCGCGGTCTGGATCGTCATGTGGAGCGAGCCGGTGATCTTGGCACCCTTGAAGGGCTGAGAGGGGCCGAACTCGGTTCTGCAAGCCATCAGCCCAGGCATCTCGACCTCGGCCAGCTCGATCTCGAGCCGGCCGAAGTCGGCCTGCGACATATCCTTGACCTTGTATTCACGACCGGAGGAGGTCTTCTCGACGAGCAGCGACATGGTTGCAGATAGATCTGAGACTGAGATTGACAGTCTCTTCTTTTCTCACTCTAGCGCTCTCTCGTCGAAGGCTAGGCTGGTATGTGTGGGCGAGAAAGTCCCAGACTTGAGTGCTATAAATAAGTTTTACAACCAATACGGACACATTTTGCATAGACTGATCAGCTAAATTATAACCGTCCACAAGAGAAGGTGGGACCCCTGCGTCTCATTTCTTAGATCCTAATTTACACACGATTTATGGAAAATGACGTAAAAGCCCCTGGTAGGTGAAGATTGAAAGAGATGAGTTCATCGTGACGATAAGTTATCAACATGTGTGGATTTACGTAAAAGTCCTTGTTTAGCTACTTCTCGACTTTTCCGCCGTTAGATTAGAATCTTCTGTGGTTTAATTTGGTTTTATGATGAACTAATATACGGTGGAAAATACAGTAACCTTGAGTCCTTGACCTTTGCTTCTCAAAATCGCGCGGTAGGTGAAGAAAACGTCGGCGATTGGGTTAGCTAGTTCTGTAACAGAGTTGGATTTGGTGGCAGATTGTGAAAGATGAGATCCAGAGACCGGTGCGACGGTGACATTTTCCATCTATGTTCCGTTCCTAACGCCTTTAAATTTAATTAATTAATCTATTTAATTTTTAGGTTAGAAAGAAAACATTAATAAATTAAATTCTGTGGATATTATTTACCAACCAGCGGTTAGTAAGGTCTCCTCTAGCCGAGATTTGGGAGAGGTTAAGGATACTGCAGTTCAATGCAGAATTCTGAATTACAATTTCTTTATAGTCTATTAGTAATCCCTATAAACTTTATTTTATTCGTAGATTTGGCATTAATTCACAGTTAGGATTTATTTTTTATATGATAGAATTAAAAAATTTTAACATGTTATTCTCCCAAAAATTAAAGAAAACGACTCCTTATTTTTATTTTTTACATTTCTCTTAAATTTATCATAATTTTTTTTGAAAGAATCTATATGTTAGTGAATTTTATTTTCAAAATCTCACCTTCCGATTAAGATTTATGTTAGATTAGTGTTAATGGTCATTAATAAAAATTGTATACATAATATTTAAATATTTTATATGACTAAATTATTTTTAAATGAATAATAAGTTTATTAAATATTTTATAACAAATTACCCTTACCTAGACCCAGGTGACTTGCAAATTTTAGAAAGGGGCCTGAGCCTAGGTCTAATTCCAGAAACTGACCAACTTTTAATGATAAATCTGAACGAAGGTGAATTTTGGAAAAAAAAAAACATAAAACCCATTGATAGAAGCGCTATATATATAAAGTTGGGGTAAATTTAAGAGAAATGCAAAATTTTAGATAATATCCTTACATTTCATAGTGCATGTGGGAATATTGAATGGTGCCCACGTGGCTCACGTTCGCATGTGTTGCCTTTACTACTGGAGAGAGGTGGTGGCCCGCAAGCTGAAATTGGATTGGAAGGTTAGGGTGGGGAGAGACAGGCGGCCATTTGGACCACAAAGGTCGTCTGTCGGTCCTCTTAGCCTTTAGATCCAGGCCGTTGGATTTGTAAATGGTTAATGGGTTTAAGATTACAGTTTGCAGCTTTGGATAAGTGAGCTTGTCGGTTTTGGTAAAGAAGGGTTCTGAACTTCTGATTGGGTGTTACGTGGGGCCGTTCTCATTAAAGGAAACTTTGATTGGATCAGGGTGGAGTGTTTTGACAAATGACAACGCAACGAGAGATTCGTTGTTGAAAAACAGTTCTCGCGGTTGTTGGTGGTTGTTGTCTGGTGCTGGTTGCCTTTATTTATAATTTTTTAATGTTTTAGGCATCGGAAAGTATCAAGGTGGGAGTAGGAATGGCAACGGGGCGGGGCACCCCCTCTCCGTCTCCGCCCCGAAGTCAAGATAATTTGATATTTTGGGTAATTAAAAAAATGAAATTATGTGATTCTAAGATTTTAAAAATTTAGGAAAATTTTAAAGATATTTTACTAATTTTAACCTTCGGGTTTGGGGCGGGTTCGGGGAATTATATACAAAATCCATCCCCGGTTCGAGGAAAAAGTATTTTCTTCGTCCCCGCCTCATTCCCATTTAGGGTTGGGGAAAACCTGTCCCGTTCAGGACAGGGCCCCAGCTTTACGAGGGAAAATTGCCATCCCTAGGTGGGAGAGTGAGGAAGAAAGAGATACAGGGGGAGATAGGAGATTGATTACATGCTCGGACCAATTCTGGATCTCCTGCCCATGAGAATTATACCAACGAGCCGAGCTTTTCATGAGTGCTCGAGCTCGGCTTAGCTTGGCTCGGTTTCAGCCGAGCTCGAGCCCAATTCAGTGGCTTGATTATTAAACGAGCTGAGCTCAAGCTCGAGCCTAGTAGAGCTCGGCTCGTAAGGCTCACTAGCCGGCTTGAATATATATATATATTTATATATATAAAATAAAATTATAGAAAATAATATATATAGTAAAAATATTATAATTATTAATTATTATAATTCTTAAAATTTTAAATAAAAAATTATATATATATTTTATTTTTATAAAATATAAAACGAGCCGAGCCGAGCTCGAGCTCAAGCCTTGTAGAATAGTCTCGAGCCGAGCTCAAGCCTGATACTATTCGACTCGGCTCGACTCGAATCCACCCCTACGTTTACCCACATAACATTGTAGTTATATGAGACCAAATCAGCCTCTCACAAGATTGCCCCCCACAACGTCCCACAGCACATCCCGGCCGTATATTGGAAACATCTCTCGATGATGACACCATTATTTCTAGTATTATCATTAGGAGATGTTCCCAATACACAACGAAGGTGTGCCGTGGGACGTTGTGGGAGGCTGATTTGAACTCCAATTATACATGGAGAATTTCTCATCCTCCTACATGGTATTGTGCACGGGATAGTGTATTGTGAGTTAGGGCTGTTCATAAGAAGGCCCAAACCGACCAACTCGGACCGATCCAACCTGAGTCGGCCGGGTTTTCATCAGCATGGGTCGGTTTCGAGTTGTACAAATTCCTAACCGATGATTCGGGTCGGTTTCGGTTTTCACATAAGGCGACCCGAACCAAACCGACTTAGTTCAAACATGAAGTTCCAAAGCCCATTAGTCCACCTAGTTTTTGAATGGTTGCAAGAAACTTTGGATTAGTGAATAGTGATTAATGAACAACTTTTGTGATTAACTTTTCATTTAAATTTTATCATAGGAGATGGCTGAAATGATGTTAATTTATGACTGTTTTTAAAAATAGCAAGATTTTATCACATGGATGAACTTAGAACCGAAACCGACCCAAACCGACCTAACCCGACTCAAATCGACTAGGTCGGTTTTGCTTAACACTGGGTCGGTTTCGATTTCTATGTCAGGTAACCCGACCAGGTCGGGTCGGTTGGAAAAATCGCAGTAAACCGACCCAACCCGACCCATGAACAGCCCTATTGTGAGTAGAATTTTTGTGAGCAGGAGATCCGAAGTCGTGGTAGAGTGCAAGAGTCAGTAGCATATTAGCATAGATTTTTTCTTATTATTGATTTTTAGTAACCAAATAGGGTACAAATGGACTAAGGGCATTCATGCTCGAATGGATTGATGAGCTTAAGGCTGTGTTTGATTGCAGTGCAATTTTATTTGCACTATCACAAATGCATGAGAATACAAATGAAAAGAATGCAAATTCTGGTTTAATTTTGTTTTGGATTTTATTATATTCTAAATAAATCAAAATTTGCATCCAAATCATTTATACTATCAGAATTTTGCATTAATGCAATTAAATTTGCATTGCAACCAAATACAGCCTAATAGTCAAAACAGACTCAAAATTCCTAGGGTCCAGCCTAATACTATCAGCTTCTGCTTCCTCACCCTTCTAATAATTGGTGTATGCGCAGAAAATAATTACTTAGTTTTATTAATTTTTATAAAGACGAAAACTAAAATTTCTCTCAAATACCCGGGTCCCATCAATTCCCCCACAACCCCGTTATGAATTTATACAACTATATTTATAAAATTTTTATATATTAAAAGTAATATATTATAATATAATCGGATTTCAAATTTTAATTGAACTGGATGGGTTTAAATCTACCTCCAATCCAACTATTAATCTATGCAAATTATAAAATTTGAATCAATTTTGATTTTATAAATAGCTCATTCGAATCCAATATATTCTGTGACTTGCCCATTAAACTTTGTCAAACTTGGGCCTAGTTTTAGCCCTTAACATGGTGGTATTAAGATGGACCTATCCCATAATCGCCCCTATCATTAAGGCTGTAAATGAATCAATTATATGTAATTCAATTTTGATTGCAGTAAATATATATATATATATATATATATATATCTGAATTTAATTTTCTAATTCAGTATGTTTTGTTATGACAAAAAGAGGGATATTTGAATCCAATTCTTACCGTATCAAATTCTGATTCAAAGAGATCATATCCAACTTATTTGTAGCCTACCTACTATTCTCTTAGGCTATGTTTGGTTTGAAGGAAAATGTAAGGAAGGGAAAGGTAAGAAAATCTTTACAAACCTTGTATTGGTTTTCTTGTCTTTCCCTTCCTTTCCATATCTTTTTCCTTCAAACCAAACATAGCCTTAGTGAAAAGGATAATTTGAATTTGATTGGATTTGAAAATCCTAGTTTGGATCCAAATCTTATCAGATTAATATCAAATTCGGATTTAATCTGATTCTACTCCAATTTTTAAAAATAAAGAAAAATTTAATAACTTTATATATACATATAATATTAAATATATTTATATAAATTTATGTAGTATATAAACATATACAACTATATTCATATATAATTATATAAATTTTATATATTGAGCTCAATATATATTATAACATAATTAGATCATATGCGGTTAAATCCACTTCCAATCCATTTGTTAATCAGATGCAAATTATAAAATTTAAATCTAACCCGATTTATGTACATAGCTCATCCAAATCCAATATATTTTATGACTTACCCAAATCTAAACTCTACCTAACTTGGGCCTAGGTTATAGCCAGGCTCAACCATCACCTATACCGTTTCCTTGCCCATTACACCTAGGACTCGAATTGGATTCAACAAAATCCAAATCCAATTCAATTGGCAGAGGTGGGAATTCGAATCCCATCTAGTTTCAAGACCCTAGTTCGAACTCAAATCATATTGGAGTTCCTTTTTTAAAAATAAAGAAAAAATTAATGACTTTTTAAATTATATAATAATAATAATAAATATTAAATATGTTATATATAAACTTATATAGTGTAATATATATAATTATATATATTTCTATATATTAAATTCAATATACGTTATAATATAACCAGATTCCTATTTAATTAGACAGGATGGAGTTTTATCCCATCTTGATTATTAATTAGATGTAGATTATAAAATCTGAATCTAATGCGATTATTAAATAATTTATCCAATGAATTAGAGATAATTGGATAGACTGTTGGACTTTTAAAGTTGATTGGCCTAATTAAACCCACCCAATTCCAACAAAAGAATTGTCTTTAGTTCATTGGAAATCGAGATATTTTGTGACTTGTTCAAAGCTGAACTATGATTCTGATATACTTAAGCCTATATTGTAGCCCTTAACATAGTTGCTAAGACTAGGGGTGTCAATTGGACTGGATTTGGTCCAATCCGGTCCAGTCCAATGTGAGTCCATTACAAATAGACCTGGTTCAATCCAGTCCAGTGAATATTTTGGACTGGTCCAGAGACTGTCCAATCTATTTAAATTCCTGTTTATTTAGATTGGTTTCAACTCAAACCTGGTCTATTGACACCTATGTTCTTATTTTCTATCAATAGATCAGCTATTGGTTCAATCCAATATAAATTTATTATGAACGGACCAGGTCCAATCCAATATTTCATATTAGTCCATCCAGTTCGTCCAAATTCAATATGTCTTATTGGTCCGTCCAAACCGTCCAAATAGATTTTAATTTGGACGGAGTCCAACCCAAAACAAACCATGTCTTATTGGTCCATTGACACCCCTAGCTAAGACAAGCCTAGCCATGATCAAACATGCCGTTCCCTTGCCCCATTACACCTAAGGCTGTAAATGGATCAGGCTTGGATCAGATTCATCAAAATTCGAATTTATTCCAATTAGCAAAAAGGGGAGTCTGAATTCGAATAAAAGCCAATTTGAAGATCCAACCTAGTTCAGATTTGAAATCCTATTAACAGCCCTAATCATACCAACCCAAGTGGAAACCATTCCAATTATAATTAATAATTAATTATAATTATAATGACACATATATAGGGGAGGTTTAAGTGTAAAATATGTTAAAAATTTTTTCCATATGATAATAGTAATTAGGTTGTCATTCTCCAATCTATAAAAAATTGTCTATTGCATTTCAAAAAATAAATAATATAATGAAAAAAATAAAGAGGCAGGTAAATAAGAGGTGTATAGTAATTAAAACATGAAAATATGAAAAAATCGAGACAATTGCAAAGTTACAATGCATTGATTAATCAAAATGTAAAATAATATTAAAAACAATTCGTCATAACTTTTTTTTTGAAAAGTGACTAAAATAACATTTGAAAATAGCTCATTCTCTCACTATTTTTTCCAAGCGTTGAATCTTTCTCTCCTTTATTCTCCTTGGTTTTCTCCCCCACCCTCTCTCTCTATACCAATGGGATGAAACATTCTTTGATTCTATTTGAAACAACTTTTGACTAATGGTTGGAGTAAATTGTTTTTCTCATTATAGGTTTTTATGCTTGGTTGGCCGTAAAAATGCTTATCTAAGAAAGACTTCTTTGAAATACCTTGATCTTATTGGGAAAGATTGAATCCAGATATGAAATAGAGAGCTAAAAAGTTATTTTTCTTCCTTCCGCTTTGAATTTGAAAAGAACTTGTAATTGATTGTATTTCTCAAATGATTTGGTGTGAGGCCGAAAGAGAGCCTCTCAAGTGTACATGTGGGACTGTAAAAAAGAACCCCTTTCTCCCTAGGCAAGGCTATTTATAGCCTATAACAAGGCTGCCACCTCAGGCCTCTTTGTAATTAGCAATCCACTTGGACTAAAAGAATGTGACCTACATTAATGTATTAAATAGATGTTATCCCCTACAAGCAAAAGCTCTGGACATTACTTTGAAGACAAGGGCATTTAGTCTTGCATTAGTAGAACTTTCCCATGGATTTAATAAACATGTATGGGAGATATTTCCAATATGCGACTGGATGATATGTGTACAAATTTTTTGCTTTCAGAAAATTAGGGTTCTGTGTTAGAAGCCTTTTAACATTTCTGTACTGTTTTTTTCTATGAATTTCTGGGACTTTACCCCTTTTCTAAGCACTATATTCATTGCAAACAAAGACATGTGCAACCAGCTACAAAACCAATAAATGATGAAACATGCCAATGATCCATAGGTGAAGGGCCTCAGGTGAACATATCAATGGCATAATCTCCCCTAGATGGTGTTTAGTACTATGTCCACTTCCCATTTTGTTTGGTTATAGAATGTACCACGACAATTACAAATTTTGGAACACACTAATGTTGTGTTTGGTACCATTGCCACTTCTAGTTGCAACATTTTAGGTTGGTCAATACAAATGTTCTGAGTTAACAATACAACATTTGGTACCATTGCCTTTTCTTTGGTAAACATCAAATTTAGTGTTTTAATTATAAATGCCAACATCCAATTCAGTGCCAATATTTTTTAATAGAAGTGGTTACCTGGTGTGATGTGACAACAATTTCTCAAAAATTTGTATCGACCAACATAAAACATTGCAAGTATAAATGGCAATGGTACCAAATAAAACAAAAAATCTTTTGTTCCATAATACAACACCAAAGACAATGCCTAGGGACACTCAACATTGATTTGGCTAGACGTTTCAAAACCATATTATTTTTGAGTTTGGATTTGATCCTCACTGAACCGTTCTCACGGCCTTTTGCTGCCATACATTGGGAACATCTCAGTATTTGTATGTTATTTTTCATGGAGAGATATTTTCAATGCACAACTGCAAGAGACTATGAGGACGGTCTTGTGAGTGCATTATTTTCATTATCTAGTTTAAAGCACCTAATTTTTAAGCTAAAACCAGAAAATCGAAAGAAAATCCACTTGAAAACTTGTTTTTTCAATGAAAAGACAAGTTTATTATTTTCAAGGCCTGTAAAACGGATTGGGTCAAATTGTCTAGATGCAAAATTGATTTTTGTAATATTTCGATTCCAATCGAATCTACTGGTATCAAGTGGAAAAGTAAATTTGTTTTTTCATCTATAAAACCGTTTTTAACTATGATTTGCACCCCTACCTGATGCAAAATTTGTACTTTCTGTTTCTATCTCTCTTGCACTCGTTAGCAATATATATCTTGCATCTCAAACACCAATACAAAATTTATATTTTATCCAATTAGGCTCAGTTTGGAAGGAGTACAAATACAAATGTGTAGAGTGCAAAACTATGTATTCTGTATTATTTTGTATGTATTTGTACTGTACATATTTGTATTTATACTCCTAAAGCCTTATGAACTGATCAAATTCGGATCACCTTAACCAGATCAAATTTGGATTTAAATTCGCAGCCTATATACCATTTTTAGCTCTATCAATATTTTTAAAAATCCGGATCTTCTAAAAGCAATATTGTAACACAGGCTAATAGCACCCAATCAGAAGTAACAGTTGCCTTTGCCACACATCTGGTAACAGTAAAGGTTGCTGACATGTTTATTTCTGATTGGTGACACTAGCTCCTGTTACACATCTTGCTTTTAGCATACCTAGAAGGTGGAGACTACAAAGGATGTGGAAATTACAAATAATTAATTTCATTACAACCACATAAATTGATTATAAGAATGTTATCTAACTGAAATTTCAAATGAATGAGGAAAAAAAATACAGAATACAAGCACTGGTGTCAAACCTACTCAACATTGGCATTGACACAGGTATAGTAAGGAACTCGACATAGCAATGACATGGATGACTGAACAATAGTCAAGACTTCCGAGACAACAGCGGCTCTGATTGAGGGTTTGTCTCCCCACCTCGCTGTTCCCAGAGCCTCTGGAAAAAGCTTGATTGCATATCAGGTGTTTGAACAACTGTCCCCTCTGTTGCTTCTAACATTCTTGGGTCCTGGCCACCAGACTCTAGTTCAGGGCCAGGTTCATCTTCTGATTGTCGTTTCCATAACCTCTGAAAGAAACTTGGTTTCTTTTGTTGTGACAAGTCTGCTATCTTTGGTGTTGTTTCTTTTAAGTTCTCCACATGTTGAAGGCAGACCTGAACAGCATCATGGACTCTCACAAAACACCACTCCTTTCCAATTAATTGGACTAAGTCAGATCTTGATAGAGTCAGAAGAACATCACGATTGGGGTTGGCAATTGCTATCTGCAAAAGAACCCACAAGTTTGATGAGAAACTCTGCTGTTGCAATCCCCCAAGATCCAAAAACTAAAAACCAGTGCTGTCAGACTCTGACCAGGTTGGACAGTTAAATTGGTGACTTGACCTAGTGAGCTTTCAAGATTCCAGTTAATTGATGGTTTTCACTATCAGAATGAGCTGACGGCAGGTTAACCAGTAAAATGCGACCTAGTGAGCTTGAACAGCACTAGAATCTATATCCGAGTCTGACAACATTGCTAAAAACAATCATCCACAATTCTTTACCTGGATGTCCCGTAATTTGTACTCCTGATGCAAGTCCTTTAGAGCTTGAACAGCACTAGAATCTATATATGTAACAGCTACAAGCAAAGACATTTTAACTATCAGGTATTGGTTGCTGTCAATTGTCTTAGTGTGCACAAATTTCTCCTACAAAAACACCGCCAGTATGCAATTGAAAAAAAAAAAAGACGGGGGGAATCGTGCAAGAATGCAAACAACTAATCATCATGAAATGCGATGATGGAAGCTCAAAGATAAATAAGAGACAAAATATTTAATCTTTTGTTGCATGCATGCTTCAAAATGGGTGTAGTTTTCATGCTGGCCACTAAAAATTTAGTCTAAGATCTGTTTCAGACGTTCTTGCCACATCTGTGACAAAGATTTAGATCAATAAAATACATTGCCCATAATTCTTTTGGTTATTTAATTGCATCCAGAAAATAATCAAGCCTTTCAACCTTCAGCAGAATATGGATGGATTCAATTGATTGTTGGGCATGTCAATATAACTCTAATAAAAATCCATCCATTCGTGCATCCCTTGTGGGATTGTCAAGACTGCTGGAATAGACCAACAGAAGGCAGTTAAATCAGTTTTACAAGAGGAGGCCATGTCAGCACAACTAACCATCCACTTGTAACAACTGTAACAATCAAGATTGTAAAATTGTTAGTAGAGCAGAAAAGGGAATAGGACATTGATTCTTTCAGCATTAAACTCTTTCTCTCCCTCTCTCTCTCTTTCTCTCTCTTCTTCCAAGAATTCAGGAGGTTGGCCCATCGAAGAGCCCTGAGTTAGGCAGGTTCCTAATAATTTGGTATCAGAGCCAGCATGACCAACACAAGAAACACGTCAGTAGACACCCGAGTGGATCAGATGGAGGTAGAGATNATATATATATATATATATATATATATCTGAATTTAATTTTCTAATTCAGTATGTTTTGTTATGACAAAAAGAGGGATATTTGAATCCAATTCTTACCGTATCAAATTCTGATTCAAAGAGATCATATCCAACTTATTTGTAGCCTACCTACTATTCTCTTAGGCTATGTTTGGTTTGAAGGAAAATGTAAGGAAGGGAAAGGTAAGAAAATCTTTACAAACCTTGTATTGGTTTTCTTGTCTTTCCCTTCCTTTCCATATCTTTTTCCTTCAAACCAAACATAGCCTTAGTGAAAAGGATAATTTGAATTTGATTGGATTTGAAAATCCTAGTTTGGATCCAAATCTTATCAGATTAATATCAAATTCGGATTTAATCTGATTCTACTCCAATTTTTAAAAATAAAGAAAAATTTAATAACTTTATATATACATATAATATTAAATATATTTATATAAATTTATGTAGTATATAAACATATACAACTATATTCATATATAATTATATAAATTTTATATATTGAGCTCAATATATATTATAACATAATTAGATCATATGCGGTTAAATCCACTTCCAATCCATTTGTTAATCAGATGCAAATTATAAAATTTAAATCTAACCCGATTTATGTACATAGCTCATCCAAATCCAATATATTTTATGACTTACCCAAATCTAAACTCTACCTAACTTGGGCCTAGGTTATAGCCAGGCTCAACCATCACCTATACCGTTTCCTTGCCCATTACACCTAGGACTCGAATTGGATTCAACAAAATCCAAATCCAATTCAATTGGCAGAGGTGGGAATTCGAATCCCATCTAGTTTCAAGACCCTAGTTCGAACTCAAATCATATTGGAGTTCCTTTTTTAAAAATAAAGAAAAAATTAATGACTTTTTAAATTATATAATAATAATAATAAATATTAAATATGTTATATATAAACTTATATAGTGTAATATATATAATTATATATATTTCTATATATTAAATTCAATATACGTTATAATATAACCAGATTCCTATTTAATTAGACAGGATGGAGTTTTATCCCATCTTGATTATTAATTAGATGTAGATTATAAAATCTGAATCTAATGCGATTATTAAATAATTTATCCAATGAATTAGAGATAATTGGATAGACTGTTGGACTTTTAAAGTTGATTGGCCTAATTAAACCCACCCAATTCCAACAAAAGAATTGTCTTTAGTTCATTGGAAATCGAGATATTTTGTGACTTGTTCAAAGCTGAACTATGATTCTGATATACTTAAGCCTATATTGTAGCCCTTAACATAGTTGCTAAGACTAGGGGTGTCAATTGGACTGGATTTGGTCCAATCCGGTCCAGTCCAATGTGAGTCCATTACAAATAGACCTGGTTCAATCCAGTCCAGTGAATATTTTGGACTGGTCCAGAGACTGTCCAATCTATTTAAATTCCTGTTTATTTAGATTGGTTTCAACTCAAACCTGGTCTATTGACACCTATGTTCTTATTTTCTATCAATAGATCAGCTATTGGTTCAATCCAATATAAATTTATTATGAACGGACCAGGTCCAATCCAATATTTCATATTAGTCCATCCAGTTCGTCCAAATTCAATATGTCTTATTGGTCCGTCCAAACCGTCCAAATAGATTTTAATTTGGACGGAGTCCAACCCAAAACAAACCATGTCTTATTGGTCCATTGACACCCCTAGCTAAGACAAGCCTAGCCATGATCAAACATGCCGTTCCCTTGCCCCATTACACCTAAGGCTGTAAATGGATCAGGCTTGGATCAGATTCATCAAAATTCGAATTTATTCCAATTAGCAAAAAGGGGAGTCTGAATTCGAATAAAAGCCAATTTGAAGATCCAACCTAGTTCAGATTTGAAATCCTATTAACAGCCCTAATCATACCAACCCAAGTGGAAACCATTCCAATTATAATTAATAATTAATTATAATTATAATGACACATATATAGGGGAGGTTTAAGTGTAAAATATGTTAAAAATTTTTTCCATATGATAATAGTAATTAGGTTGTCATTCTCCAATCTATAAAAAATTGTCTATTGCATTTCAAAAAATAAATAATATAATGAAAAAAATAAAGAGGCAGGTAAATAAGAGGTGTATAGTAATTAAAACATGAAAATATGAAAAAATCGAGACAATTGCAAAGTTACAATGCATTGATTAATCAAAATGTAAAATAATATTAAAAACAATTCGTCATAACTTTTTTTTTGAAAAGTGACTAAAATAACATTTGAAAATAGCTCATTCTCTCACTATTTTTTCCAAGCGTTGAATCTTTCTCTCCTTTATTCTCCTTGGTTTTCTCCCCCACCCTCTCTCTCTATACCAATGGGATGAAACATTCTTTGATTCTATTTGAAACAACTTTTGACTAATGGTTGGAGTAAATTGTTTTTCTCATTATAGGTTTTTATGCTTGGTTGGCCGTAAAAATGCTTATCTAAGAAAGACTTCTTTGAAATACCTTGATCTTATTGGGAAAGATTGAATCCAGATATGAAATAGAGAGCTAAAAAGTTATTTTTCTTCCTTCCGCTTTGAATTTGAAAAGAACTTGTAATTGATTGTATTTCTCAAATGATTTGGTGTGAGGCCGAAAGAGAGCCTCTCAAGTGTACATGTGGGACTGTAAAAAAGAACCCCTTTCTCCCTAGGCAAGGCTATTTATAGCCTATAACAAGGCTGCCACCTCAGGCCTCTTTGTAATTAGCAATCCACTTGGACTAAAAGAATGTGACCTACATTAATGTATTAAATAGATGTTATCCCCTACAAGCAAAAGCTCTGGACATTACTTTGAAGACAAGGGCATTTAGTCTTGCATTAGTAGAACTTTCCCATGGATTTAATAAACATGTATGGGAGATATTTCCAATATGCGACTGGATGATATGTGTACAAATTTTTTGCTTTCAGAAAATTAGGGTTCTGTGTTAGAAGCCTTTTAACATTTCTGTACTGTTTTTTTCTATGAATTTCTGGGACTTTACCCCTTTTCTAAGCACTATATTCATTGCAAACAAAGACATGTGCAACCAGCTACAAAACCAATAAATGATGAAACATGCCAATGATCCATAGGTGAAGGGCCTCAGGTGAACATATCAATGGCATAATCTCCCCTAGATGGTGTTTAGTACTATGTCCACTTCCCATTTTGTTTGGTTATAGAATGTACCACGACAATTACAAATTTTGGAACACACTAATGTTGTGTTTGGTACCATTGCCACTTCTAGTTGCAACATTTTAGGTTGGTCAATACAAATGTTCTGAGTTAACAATACAACATTTGGTACCATTGCCTTTTCTTTGGTAAACATCAAATTTAGTGTTTTAATTATAAATGCCAACATCCAATTCAGTGCCAATATTTTTTAATAGAAGTGGTTACCTGGTGTGATGTGACAACAATTTCTCAAAAATTTGTATCGACCAACATAAAACATTGCAAGTATAAATGGCAATGGTACCAAATAAAACAAAAAATCTTTTGTTCCATAATACAACACCAAAGACAATGCCTAGGGACACTCAACATTGATTTGGCTAGACGTTTCAAAACCATATTATTTTTGAGTTTGGATTTGATCCTCACTGAACCGTTCTCACGGCCTTTTGCTGCCATACATTGGGAACATCTCAGTATTTGTATGTTATTTTTCATGGAGAGATATTTTCAATGCACAACTGCAAGAGACTATGAGGACGGTCTTGTGAGTGCATTATTTTCATTATCTAGTTTAAAGCACCTAATTTTTAAGCTAAAACCAGAAAATCGAAAGAAAATCCACTTGAAAACTTGTTTTTTCAATGAAAAGACAAGTTTATTATTTTCAAGGCCTGTAAAACGGATTGGGTCAAATTGTCTAGATGCAAAATTGATTTTTGTAATATTTCGATTCCAATCGAATCTACTGGTATCAAGTGGAAAAGTAAATTTGTTTTTTCATCTATAAAACCGTTTTTAACTATGATTTGCACCCCTACCTGATGCAAAATTTGTACTTTCTGTTTCTATCTCTCTTGCACTCGTTAGCAATATATATCTTGCATCTCAAACACCAATACAAAATTTATATTTTATCCAATTAGGCTCAGTTTGGAAGGAGTACAAATACAAATGTGTAGAGTGCAAAACTATGTATTCTGTATTATTTTGTATGTATTTGTACTGTACATATTTGTATTTATACTCCTAAAGCCTTATGAACTGATCAAATTCGGATCACCTTAACCAGATCAAATTTGGATTTAAATTCGCAGCCTATATACCATTTTTAGCTCTATCAATATTTTTAAAAATCCGGATCTTCTAAAAGCAATATTGTAACACAGGCTAATAGCACCCAATCAGAAGTAACAGTTGCCTTTGCCACACATCTGGTAACAGTAAAGGTTGCTGACATGTTTATTTCTGATTGGTGACACTAGCTCCTGTTACACATCTTGCTTTTAGCATACCTAGAAGGTGGAGACTACAAAGGATGTGGAAATTACAAATAATTAATTTCATTACAACCACATAAATTGATTATAAGAATGTTATCTAACTGAAATTTCAAATGAATGAGGAAAAAAAATACAGAATACAAGCACTGGTGTCAAACCTACTCAACATTGGCATTGACACAGGTATAGTAAGGAACTCGACATAGCAATGACATGGATGACTGAACAATAGTCAAGACTTCCGAGACAACAGCGGCTCTGATTGAGGGTTTGTCTCCCCACCTCGCTGTTCCCAGAGCCTCTGGAAAAAGCTTGATTGCATATCAGGTGTTTGAACAACTGTCCCCTCTGTTGCTTCTAACATTCTTGGGTCCTGGCCACCAGACTCTAGTTCAGGGCCAGGTTCATCTTCTGATTGTCGTTTCCATAACCTCTGAAAGAAACTTGGTTTCTTTTGTTGTGACAAGTCTGCTATCTTTGGTGTTGTTTCTTTTAAGTTCTCCACATGTTGAAGGCAGACCTGAACAGCATCATGGACTCTCACAAAACACCACTCCTTTCCAATTAATTGGACTAAGTCAGATCTTGATAGAGTCAGAAGAACATCACGATTGGGGTTGGCAATTGCTATCTGCAAAAGAACCCACAAGTTTGATGAGAAACTCTGCTGTTGCAATCCCCCAAGATCCAAAAACTAAAAACCAGTGCTGTCAGACTCTGACCAGGTTGGACAGTTAAATTGGTGACTTGACCTAGTGAGCTTTCAAGATTCCAGTTAATTGATGGTTTTCACTATCAGAATGAGCTGACGGCAGGTTAACCAGTAAAATGCGACCTAGTGAGCTTGAACAGCACTAGAATCTATATCCGAGTCTGACAACATTGCTAAAAACAATCATCCACAATTCTTTACCTGGATGTCCCGTAATTTGTACTCCTGATGCAAGTCCTTTAGAGCTTGAACAGCACTAGAATCTATATATGTAACAGCTACAAGCAAAGACATTTTAACTATCAGGTATTGGTTGCTGTCAATTGTCTTAGTGTGCACAAATTTCTCCTACAAAAACACCGCCAGTATGCAATTGAAAAAAAAAAAAGACGGGGGGAATCGTGCAAGAATGCAAACAACTAATCATCATGAAATGCGATGATGGAAGCTCAAAGATAAATAAGAGACAAAATATTTAATCTTTTGTTGCATGCATGCTTCAAAATGGGTGTAGTTTTCATGCTGGCCACTAAAAATTTAGTCTAAGATCTGTTTCAGACGTTCTTGCCACATCTGTGACAAAGATTTAGATCAATAAAATACATTGCCCATAATTCTTTTGGTTATTTAATTGCATCCAGAAAATAATCAAGCCTTTCAACCTTCAGCAGAATATGGATGGATTCAATTGATTGTTGGGCATGTCAATATAACTCTAATAAAAATCCATCCATTCGTGCATCCCTTGTGGGATTGTCAAGACTGCTGGAATAGACCAACAGAAGGCAGTTAATCAGTTTTACAAGAGGAGGCCACGTCAGCACAACTAACCATCCACTTGTAACAACTGCCTTGTAACAACTGTAACAATCAAGATTGTAAAACTATAAGTAGTAGAGCAGAAAAGGGAATAGGACATTGATTCTTTCAGCATTAAACTCTTTCTCTCCCTCTCTCTCTCTTTCTCTCTCTTCTTCCAAGAATTCAGGAGGTTGGCCCCTCGAAGAGCCCTGAGTTAGGCAGGTTCCTAACAGGGATTGAGTATATTTATATTTATCTAGAAATTAATTAACTTTCTTATTCTTGTTACTGTTAAAAATAACAAGTTTAAACCATAGAATGGGCCTTTTTATGGCACTGTATTTTTTTTTTCAAGTTTCAACCAACTATACATTTGCAAATGGTAATATTTTTTGAAGGGGAAAACATTTTACTGACATACATATAAAAGTTGTTAGCAGGGAACATGACTTTAGAAATTCTGTTAGCAACCATTCAAAGTGCAGGTGCACATAGGCCTGAACCACAGTAAAGCTAAGGCCAGCCCTTCACCTTAAGGAACAAAAAAAGGGCAGTGCTGAACTCATCACAGGCCACAGAAGAAGGAACCAATACCATATAAGTGGGCTACTCATTATACTGGAGCTGTTCCTTTACTTCCCCTTTTTGTAGTTAAAAGAAGAGAAAAAGCAAAAGAGAAAAAACAAGACAATTTGGTGCTCAAGATCAAGCCCAAAATTCAAATGACTTGATTGGTCCTTGAAGGTGATTCAGAGGTGGTGGTTAGATGGCTAAAGGAAGACAATGGTAGCATGTGGAGCTATAGCAATGAAAGGAAAAAATTCAAATGGCTTGCTAGGGATATTGAGGTGAAGTACAGCTGGGTGAAAAGAAATGCCAACTCACTTGCTGATGGATAAGCCAAGCAAGGGGTGAGTAGGGTGTCTTCTTTGTACTTTAATGGTGGGGAGTTAAGTCATTTTACCTCTCCTATCTCTTGTAATCTTTAATAAAGTTTATTGTTATTGGAAAAAAAATCAAGGCCAACCTGATATACAATTGTTTGCCCCCACTTAATGTAGCCAAGCTCAGTCTGAAGCAGGATGAACTCAAGCACCCATCAGAATGGCCAAGTTCATGCCAAGCACCCATCAGAATGGTCAAGTTCATGTGCATGGTAATTGAATCAGAAATGTTATTTATCAAAAAAAAAAAATCAGAAATGTTCAAGTTGATAAATTTTCTAAAACATACATGCTATTTCTATGTTTTTCTAAATTCGGACATAAAGGCTTGACAAAGTGAGACTTACGTGACAACTCTATAATCACAAAATAGACTCTTTCAACTTCTGGTCCACGTTTCCTAGTTCCATGTGTATTGATTTCATACTCCCGCAGCCTGATAAAGAACAACTAAGTGTAAATCTTATTTCTTTAGTCACAGGATAATCAAATAATCAATTAAAATTTATTTTTACAGATGAGTGTCTTTGGTCTTAGGAATTTCTGTTTTCTATTTTTTTTGTGCAGTTTTAAAGAAGCATTCATCCTTTACCTGTCTTTTATGTAACTTATATTTGCAAAGTAAATAGGTGCATCAATCCGAACAATCACAATCCCATTGTATGTATATGCTTCGGGGTACTGTTGGATGTTTCTATATATAGTGGTTCCAGGAAGACGCCCCAAGATAGCTGAAATGAAAATGGTAAGAACTCATCAAACCACAAACATATCTTAAATTGTTGATTCTCGTATTCAGATAATGGACATGACATTTCTTGAATTATTAAGTACAAACCATAAAAAGTAATAGATTGATCACAACGAATCAATGTTCATATAGTTGAAAGACTATGGCTAGCAAACACATGATCCTTAGAAGGTAAAATAGTGGCAGCAAGAACCATCCAACATGCAGATTTGTTTATTTGGTATTGATCTTACAATGCTAGAATTCTACTCACCAATATGCGGGTTTGCTGATTCATGGATGACGAATGCAAGGGAGACACCCACCTACAATGCCAATATCCTGTCTTGGGTTAGTAAGACTGAAACTTTCTACATTTTCAACAATTGAGACAATCAAGAGAGATGTTCTCAAGACAAGTATTCAATATGGAGACAAAGCTTTGATCTAGTTGAGTATTCAATATGGTGTTTAATGTATAATTTGTGAGGCTCCCAATCTAATTGAGATGTTGAATAGTTTCACTCTTGTGCATCCTAAGTTTCAATTGACTGATTTAATATCAATTAGATTTATGACTTTGATCCTGAAGAGTGATGAAGTGTCCAACAAGAAAGCTTTTAATTAGTTCGTGTATTAGCTCC